ATAAACACATATACACATATATAATATATATATATATATATATATATATATATATATATATATATATATTTTATATATGTTTTTATACGCAGCAAACTAAAATTTATTACATACGGTACCTTGAAAAGAAATTTTGCTCTACTAAAATGCAAGAAACAACTGATTAAATATTATTTCCTGTGATAGCTGCTACATATAAGTTATTACATACCGGTATCTTAAAAAGTAAGTTTACTCTACTATGTGACCGCCACCCCCACCCCATCAATGTATTGAATGAGAGAGACTGTGGTCTTCCAGGCCCAGGGGCGGATCCAGGATATGAAAGATGGTGGTTCCAGGGACGTAGCCAGGATTTTGAAGGCGGGGGAGGGGGGGGGAGTCGTTATGCGAATTACGTAGGACTCCGGCGGGGTTAAGGGGGCGAATCCCACTGTGAAGTCGCGCACTCTGAACGTTGTTAGGACTGTTTGAGAGGATAAAATGAAAATTGCAATAGACGCATTATAAATAAGTACAAAAATAATTATATAATAAATCACAGTGGCAGATCCCGGAATTTGAAAGAGAGGTGAACCAGGGAGGAGCTTTCACAGACCTCAGCCCCACGATGGTTGGGGCTGAGGTAAGAAAATTTATGATTAGGGCATCTCTAGATGGCCGGAAATTACACTCTCGCTCTTCAATTTGAATATATTTTCAGGGCCGTACGGTGAAAAATCTAAGGGGGGGGTCGAAACGAAAGCGCAGGGGGAAGCTGAACTCGGAGCAATTTAGCGAAGCTTTCAGAATTCCGTGGGGTGCGTTATTTGTGAGTGAAGCGAGCATATTTAAAGGGCACTTTCTTTAAAAGGGGATCGACCGCACTCATCGACCCCCCCCGCCCACGGTACGCCACTGACTTTTCTTTTTTTCCTTAAATTTGATTGGCTAAATCTATGGTAGCCATCTTGGATGGTACACACACATACTGCCCCACCATGACAAAGGGAAGTAACGGACAATTTTTCAAAAAACAAGTTTTTTAGTCGCTATCAACGAACAAATAATTTGGAACATATTGATATATTTGAGTATGCTCAAATCCCACTAATTAACAAGTAATTAGCAACACAAA